TAGATTGAATCATTTTCACAGTCGGGAGGCTCACTGTAGGCCTGAAATGAAATGAACTCCCAAATCAATTTCAAATGGGAACAACAAGTGCACTCTCCCCCTGCATGGCTGGAATTGGTTTTGTTATTGAAAATGAAATGAAGTTTTTTTTTAAATTTTTCTCCCCTCTACAGCCTTGCTCTTTTGGCCGATATGATTTCCACTGATTTACAGTGTAATCTAGGTTAATTTCAGCACTTTTTCTTTTTATGTCAGAAATTCCATAAACGTGTCACTCTGAAAGGTGGTAGTAATTTCTACCAGGTGATTTATTGTTTTTAAATGGAGCACCTTTTCCACCTTTGTCGCTCAGAGTTAAGCAGCTATGAAATTGTCTGAATAATGGTGCTTAAATCCAATCATAGTTTGTCCTGTCAGCTTTCTCCACACACAATTCAATCAGCAGTGCTCTCAGATTGCTCTTTTCTATGTGCATCCACTTTTTCTTTCACAGATTAGACTTCAGGCCTTTACAGTAGAATCAGTCCAGGTTCACAAAAGCATAAAGTGGAACAAAATGTCATAGGCAGAAACTGGCAATGCTTGAATGATTATAAAGTTAATGAGCAACAACTAAAAATAAAGTGTGGGTCAGCTACTGCAGGAAGAATTTTAGCATTTAGGGAAATTACTGAAATATCAAGCAGTAATCTTGCAAATGAATATCTGTTCTTATGCTATGATGCAGTCGGGGAGTTGTTTCTTCCAATTTTCAAAAAGGAACAGTTTTTAGTTACACTCAGCTTCCACCTGCTTGTCCAGGTTTTGTTTGAGAACTAAATGTCTTCAGATGAATCTCACTAGAGCCAGTGCAGAGAAATTAGCTCCTTTCTACTTTCCTGTTTGCACTGCACTTCTTTTGATTTCCCAGGGTAAACTATCATGCTAATTCTGGGTTAAACAAAGTTTGAAATAATTTGATGAAACACTGGACTTCAAGCAGTGCTGGAGATGTTTCTCCTCCTAAAATTAATTTACGACGCAGGATGGTGTTGGCTGTTATTTCTTCAAATAGGTTTGAGATCAAAAGGAAAAACAATAAACAGAAAGCAGAAGAAGCAGGTTTCTATGGGCTTCTTGGAGATTAACCAGGTATTTCTGTCTGCTTTCCTCTCAGGCGAGCTGGCCTCCATGATTTCTCGGTACCCTTCTCCTGCAGAGTTGGATGCTTTTGCCCAGAAGACCGCCAACAGCCCACTGTCCATCAAAATTTTTCCATCTGATGTGCGGGTGCCACAACACAAACAGCTTAACAAAACGGTCAATGGCTTAGATACCACAGGCCACCGCCATAGCTCCTATTCACACCCGTACTCAGGAGGCTATCAGGGCTTGTTGGCCATTGTCAAAGCTTCTGTGGTGGTCAAAGGTGTGGTGAAAAACTCTGAGGGGAGAAGGACTAAACATACAAACACCCAAACTTCTGTGGCACCGTATAATAACCCTCTGAATAATGGCTATAGACTCAGACACGGGCATAAGGCCTATCATATAAGCTCATGTAAGCCCCCTGATGTACCCATAGAGACACTTTGTTCCAGTGCAGGGATGGCCTCCGGAGATCAGAGCCTGGCCCCCCATTCTGAGCTGGCAGAGGTTCAAAACCTGATGAGGCAGATAAGCAGAGTTCCCCACAGTCAGGCCCGGCTGTGGCTGCGGTGGCACATTCAGACTCGGACTTTATCCTGGGAGTGCCGCCCCAGAGCAGTCTGGCAGTCACAGGAGCAGTACTACCTACAAAGAGTGCAGACATAGCCAAAACTGGGTACCTAGAGAAAGGAAACTACACAATGTGGCAGCACAAACATCAAATTCAGCAGCAGTCATATCATCAGGGAGCAGTGAAGATGTACAGTTTGAGTAACGGCACTCAGGGGCACAGAGCAGCGGAGGCCGGGGTAGGCCAGTCTCCTGAAACCTGTCTGCCTTTGGTGTGCTCCTCCCAGCTGTCATATAGGCTGCATCCCCCCAGCGTGAGCGCCGGGCAGGAGCACGTCAGCGCCACCTCTCTGAACTGTGCTGCCATGCAAGGGGACTTCTCCGTTGGACAGCACTTTGCTCCTCTCTGGGACAGTGTTGTGTCCACCCCTAATAACGACTGTTATAATTCTCAGGTGCTGGCAACGGGTACATGTGCAGTCAGGCCTAGAGACCTGGGGCTCTCCCATCCCCATCTCCACTCAAATCGCCATCAACACCGCCATCCTCAGCATCACCAGCCACAGCTCAACCCTCCTCTTCCTCTTCATACCCAGGCTTACAGCACAGACCAAAACCTCTGCTGTGGGCTGCCTAGTTCTACCCTGTGCCACGCTGCAGTACTCAGCAGCAGCCTGCAGTCTCTGGAGTGCCTCATCAGTGAGATTCACCCTCCCTGCATCAAAGAGCGCATGCTGGGCCGTGGGTACGAAGCCATGGGGATGCCTCAGCTACTGGAGCACCACCAGCAAACCAATATCCAGCTCCCTGTCTACAGATAAGACAGGCTGCCGCATCACAATGGGACGCAGAAGTGACAAACCTTTTATAGATAACAAAAATGTTTCAGTTTAGACATTTTTGAGAATTAGACATGCCTTTTTAGTTTGTGCATGTACTGTATTTGTAGAAGGCTTTGCATTATAAGCCTGAAGTAAATGATAATCATGACTTAAGATACAGGTTTATCTCTTGGACCTTTTGTGTCTTATTTTTCTATCTTAAATTCCCATCAGTAATGCCTGTTGTTCTCCATTTCATAGGGATGCTGAGCACCTAAAGAGAATTTACCATTACATTTTCACACGAACTGTCTATTTTGCAAGCGATTCCTCTGCAGGCTTTTGCAAAAATGGAAAACTATTGAACTGAAATCATCATTGGTAATCATTCATCTGGAAAGGATCTCTGGTAACAGTTTTTTGTGAATATACTGTATATTTTTACACACAGTGGTTTCTTATTTGAGAGGGAACATTCTTTAATTATTAACAGAACTTTTACTTGTCTGCTGCTTTGTTGTGGATTTCATTTTGTCCACTTTTCAGTGACTCCTGCGTTTAACAGACATATGCAGTGCCCCAGCTTCTGCAATATGATGCAAATTCCCCGGCCACTATCATTTGCATATAAATGTGGAAGTTATGTACTTTAACATTTTAACTGATTTAATGTAGTCATGCTCAGTATATTAGGACTGTTGTATATCTAAATCAACACGGTGGCATTCAGGCCAAGTAAAATGTTCCCTTTGTCCTTTTTTGTAACATTTTTCAATTTTAAGAGGTTGTGAGAAGGTTGTGACACTGTTACACAACACCTGGGCATAATGGAGTGCCATGTTGGAGAGCAGGCCACCGCTATCATTTACATTATCTTCTTTGTAGGGCTATATTATCTCTGGTGTTGTGAGATGTATGACTGAGTAGTTCTTTGTGTGTCTGCGCTGGTTCTGTGATACTATTATTTATGTTGGCCTGTTGAGTGATATATCAAACTGTCTCTATAATTATAAAGTGCAATTATTATATATGAAGATGTGAGCGCTCTCCATGAGGTATGTTGGAATAACTACATTTTGCAATGTATGACCCTAATCCCTCTTTTTTTGCCTATTCTTAATAAGGATTGTCAAGTAAATTAAATTTTATAAACCCAGCAGATAATTTGTGTTATAACATATTATTTATTTGCCAGACATGCAGCTGAATAGACAAATTTGTTATATTCATGAATGATAAACCAGCGGTGAAAAGATGTGACATTCTGGCTTTATTGCAAATGGATTTAAGACTTAACCACCAGGCAAGTCGTAGAAATGATTTTATTATGATCCATCTTTTCACTGGAGGATCACAGGTTTATAATATGATGTAAGTCAATCCCTAGCTGAAATACAATGGACTGTTCCCTCCATGAAGGATATAAGGTGAAAGTGATAATTTTGTTATAGAGAATTAGGTTCTAGATGGATGGCCAACATTTGAGGCAGAAACCATTTGTAAGTGAAAATGTACAGGCCATTTGTGTGTGAAAATACATGCTTTCTTGGAGATAAATCCACAAGAATATTACTCTTCTGATTATTTAGAAATGGGCTTGTTGCTACTCAACTATTGAATTGCTAATCCTATATGGCGTGCCTAGATGCACCTTTTATTTCGCTTCATTTGTTCTCTGAAATTGGGTGCTACAGCAGTAATGTAGTTTAGATCACCACTGACAAACTGCACACAGAGCCCGTTGCAAAACAACCTAAATGGCACGAGTAATGGCTTTAGATGCACTGTTGGGAAAAACTACAATATTCAATTGATGACATTATTGCAGATAAGAAATATTTCAGAGTTAAGGTCAGTGCCTTTGTGGTAAATGATTTGCTGTCTTTAGCCCATTGTGTCCTGGCTTCGCTTGGAGCTTTTCCATCCTATCTATCAGTCAGGACAGGCCAGGCTGCTCTGCTGATAAACCTACAGGATTACAGACATGCTCCTCTCGCTCTCTCTCAGAGACGATTAGCTCAGGCTAGGCTCCGCTGGGAGAGGAACCAGAGTCGGTCCATCCTCTGGGACACACTATAGATTAGTAAGTGGAAGAGGCTAGTTGATTTGAAGGATTAGGAGACTGGAAGAAGACGGGATTTTCCTATACTTTACAGCTGTAAAATAAAATAAAAAAGAAGGTCAAACTCAAACTTAGCATTTTTGGCAGCAGTCGACCTTGGAAACATTTTTGCCGAGGGCAAACTGTGGCACATCAAAAGCTTTTTATAAACCTGCTTTTGCAGAATTATAGAAAACATCAACATTTTTTAAAAAGTCATTTAAAATCTCATTTGGCTGACAGTGGAACTTCATAGATAATTAGATTTCCATTATTATTATTACAATTTCACGTTCCACAGCTGCTCCACAAATGTGACTAAAAGAGAAACAAAAGCTGAGTGAACATTGCCACCTAGAGTGAAACTCATGGAATCAATGTGATTTTACACTTTTAATATTCAGTCAAACACAAATCTTACAAACATAAATTTGATTATAGCCGAGTATCCACAAACAATAAGCCTGAACAGTATGTCTGTGTAAATGAATTTAGGTCAGTTTGAGAGATAAATAGGAACAAAACAGGGCTACAAACAAATCATCCACAACTTCCAACTAAACACAGGCAAAAGCCCTCTTAGGAAGAACATCTGTGCTTTATAAGAGAAATAGAATTCTTAAAAAAAAATGTAATTCTGAGCTTACTTTGAAAACCCTGTGTATTTACTCAGTAACACCACAGCATTCAGTGGCTTCCAGCAGTTAACAAATAACAGGATATGTTAAATCTCAAATTACTACTGACCACCGCTGCTCCCAGGTTAACAGTGGAGGCAACTCAAGGGCTCGGGAAGCAGAGAATGAAGTATTAGCAAAAATGTTTTTTCTGTAAAAACAGTGCTGACAGTCTTGTATTCTTCCCCTGATGGAACAGGTGAAGGCCACGTTAGTGTGTAACAGTTCTGCATAGCAGTGACAGCGCTACTGCTGCTCTAACAATCGTGCAATTACTTGAAATTACACACAACAAAAATTTTACACTATAATAATTGCTAGGATCATTTTAAGACTAAACACTAGTAGTATTAATATTGTGTTTGGTATAATCCAAATAATAAATAACACACTGTGAGGGAAAAAAAAAAAAATCAAATAATTCTAGTAAAAACATCTTTGAAAACAAGACCTCTGTGACTCCTCTTGGATGGATGACAAACAAGATAGTGATGCAGTATGGTTCTCCACCTCTTGTTTAGTAATGTCATCAGACATCAAGCAGTGTAGTCCAGCTCTGCGTTCAGATTTGTGTACATCTCATAGATGGCATCGACAGTGGGAGTGAAATTAACCAGGAACTGACGCATGTTTTCCAGACACTCCTCCTCTTTCACTTCCTCTCCCTTTGACAAAGCCTTCAGGAAGTTTGATCTGTAGGGAGCTGCAATTAATGCTGCCTGCAAAGCACAAACAAAATGAAAACCCTCCATGATAATTAGGTAGAAGTTGGTGTAAACAAAGGTTCCTCATGTTTTAATGAATCGGCTCTCATCGTATAAAAGTAATAGAAAAAAATATAGCCTACTTATATAGTGGTTACATAAGGTAAACATGCATAAAATGTTGAGGTAAAGTGTTTATTGTTATATGCACAGTGAGGAAACATGTTTCCCTGTACAGTGAAATTCTTACTAAATGTAATGAAATAGCAAATATGGTGTTTTTGGAAGACAAAATAATAAACCTTACATAATGCAGCCCATCAGCACACCACAAATTATAACTTGGGCCAATATGTTGAGTAGGGTCATGCTTTGCCCGCTCCTTGTATATTAAATTACAATAAGCGGTTAAGAATAATAAGAAAAAGAAATATTTTTCCAAATGTATATTTTCCTTACTTGGAAAATCTTCTGAACTATCCAGCCGTGGTAGTCCTTCAGTGCCTGATCGTAGGCTTTGGTGACATTGACCCGGATCAGGTTGGGATGGTTCTCATCTCTATCTCCATCTACCAAACTCTGTAGAAGGATCTGCATGAAACGGAGACCTCTGCAGGAGGGTCCCAGTATTCATTAAGGTGAAAGGTCAACATACAGTTATGACATAATACTGAGTTCAAGGAGTGCTCACCTTTTCAGCCACATCAGAGCTAATGTTGCACCAACTTTAGGCCATTCAGCTCCATGGGCTTCTCGCTCTGCTTCCAGAATGTCCTGCAGGGTGACGGACTTTTCAGGGTCCTTGTCATATACTGCTCTAATTTTCTGAAAATGCACATTTGGGGTTCAGTTTGCATGTAGACAGCTACACGGCAGTACTTATAATTGTATGAAAACAGGCTAAAACACACACAGGTCTCTACCTTACCCTTATATTGCCGTTAATGTCTGATTTGATGAAAGCAAATACTTTTGATCCTAAGCAGTCTGAAAGGAAAAACAGATATTTGAGAGCAAGGCAATAAAATATAAATGACTCCATCACAGTGTCCCTAGCTCAGAAGGGGGTATGAATACAAATCAGCCTTTACGAATAGGAAGGGGGAAATGCAGTGAATGCACAGCCTGGGTTAAGTCACTGCGAGGTCAGTGCTGTGTTCAATGAGTAAACAAAGGGTTTCTCTATTAGCTAAACAACCAGCTGGTACACATTACCACCGTGACCCAGTAGCTCCACTTCTGCTGTGTGTGAAATAACCACGTCCTATGTTAAAAAGTCACATTCTAGAGGATCAGACACTCAACAACTCGTTTGAATCAAGAAAAGACTGAATAGTGACAGCGATTTCAGTAGAGCCTCGGCCCCCTCAGCGATTTCTCGGGCATCTCGTACATTCAGCCTATGTTTATTTTATAGACTTCTGCTCAGGCGGAGGTATACTCACCAAAAAACGGCGGAAGGAAAGAGACAGTTTCTAGAAAGAACTTGGTATTTATCGACTTGTCAGGAGGCAGCTCGTTGAATTGGTGATCCAGCAAAAGGGACATGGTCCGAGCGTATAAACAGCGTGATAAAGCTGAAGTAGCGCGCGGCTCTCGTCTGGAAAGAACCCGGAACTCTCTTCGTGTTAAATGGGTGGGGAAGCCTCACACAGGGCCCTTTCACTTTCGTCCCTCTCCAACAGGTGGGAAATATGACTGTGCTGGAAAACACTGCACATGTCCAAAACACACACACACACACAAACGCAACAAGAGCCAAGCTGAGGTTTGAATGAACCTTTATTATACCTAAGGCAGGTTGTTTTCAACCACACAGGCAGTGAGAGGCGAGAAATGTCAGGGTTCAAACCCAGAGGTGTCAAGTGAACTCAACACATACACTTACTGCAACTTAGCCTTTGGTTCGTGTACGTAAACACAAACAGCTATTGTACTTTTATTTTAGTATAATTTTTCTTATGTGGGTTAATTAACTAGTTTTGGAAAAGTACAGTATATCACTAAGTGCTCTCATGGGCTAATTAGGATTTATAGTTTGAAATTAAAGCAACACCATGTTACTTTCGAAATAAACTAATTAGGATTTATAGTTTGAAATTAACTCAAGATTTAAAGCAACACCATGTCACTTTCGAAATAACATCTTCCTCTTAAAAACGTAATTTTGAATTTATAAGCATAAAAATGCATCATTACTCACGCTATTTTGCTCTAATAACCTTATTTAATCCTGTATGACCACTGTCCTAGACTGGCTAATGCTACCTGACTTTACAAAGGCCACATGGTTCAGTACTATGGACATATACTGTTACATTACGTTTTAGCATTTGCCATTTTCCTGTTCTGGTCAGTGTTTAGCTAAAGTGACAGTCTCACTTTAAGACCTTCAATGTTAAGAAGGAAATAACACCGACTGCATCACTGACACACCACAAAGACACTCAGCATGACTAAACAAATCTATTTATATGTAGCTAGATATGCAAATAATGTTACTTCAACTTGAGTAATGCCGAATTAACAATAACTGTGTATGGTATTGTAGTCATCTTTCCACCCCTGGTTCAACCTTATATTACTCACAATGAGTGACACGTTAGACCCAAGTTCTACAGGCACTCCATCTATTACTTTATCACTGATTGTAAACCACAGTGGTACCTAAAGGCAGCATCTAACACACTGGAGTTACAGCACCACAACAGAGATCACAAGTTGCTTATAACTAACTGCCAGCTGAGACATCCCAAACCTCAGAACAAAGTTAGCCGTCAAACAAAAGCTTATGAAAATATACATTGATATTTTGTTAGAGGTATGACATGTTTATAAATAGAATAGCATTTGGATTACTTTGATAAAGAATTACATGGATGCGTACATCTTTTATATTTGCATAAAATTGATTCAATTGAATTTCACACTGGCCATCAAGGCCATCTCTTTGACAACTGCACGCGCCTACACACACACACACACACACACACACACACACACGATAGGTATGGCTGTAACATAATCGCTTCAAAACACTACTGATGCTTCACATATAAACACATCTTGGACCAGTGTGCAGGGATTGAACCTGAAATGCCCTGCTGGAGCTGCTTGGTAAAATGAAAAGCTTGCACACTCCTGGTACATTTACATGGTGCTCGAGACACTGAAGCTATTTTCTATAGTCACCATTTGCTTCTGAACTCCAAGCAAGTGACATCACAGATTCATTCAAGATTAAAATACTGTAATTGCATTAAAAAATCATTTAAAATGGATAAAAAAAAATAAACCAATGTCACTGGAGTAGACTAAGGTTTCTGGCAGCCCAGCCGTGCCAGATACCAGTCCTCAAGGAGCACAACTGATGACCTCTGGTGTCTAAGCTGAAGTACTGTTAATAAAAGTACAGTGTAGACGGCTCAACTGTGTCTTGTTCTAGTTATTTTATATATACACACACATACATACACACAACGTTGTGTGGATTAAACTGATCTCTTTGTGAGGTAAAGAACAGCAACTTATTTTGTCCTACATCTTATGACATTCGTTTACTTACATGGTAATACATAAGTAAACAAACATCTACACACATAAACAAAACAAATAAAGCTTTTGATTGATCCATAGTTTTTTTTTACATGGTATATCTTTTTTAAATATATATTTTCCCATCTAAAAGAAGGTATGTAAATGCATACACCGATTAATATGGGAAAATAAAAACTAGTGATAACACTGAATAATATGATATTTTCACAACTGTCTTTGGGTTTTAGTTAGTTGTTGTTTTCTTTGGTTGTCACAGTGACAAGTTGCTTGGCAGCTTTGGCGATGTCATAGGCGCACTGGATGACCTGCTGAGTGACCAGCTGGATGTCTGACGGACAGGGGTTATGCTCCACGGCCTTCTGGCACTCTCCGTGCAATCGGCTCGCACTCGAAGTGAGCAGGCACAGAGACCCTCGCACAGTCTCTGAGGATGGCCTCTGTCGGGTTTGGTGGGAGGATGGATGATTGAGAAAATGATAAGGGGCAAACATGACAACATCCATAAATACATTCTCACTGTGGTCAGTAGACCCAAGGGCACAGTGTGTGTGAGAACAAAGTAATCCAGTAAAGAGTAAACAAAACTGAACAGCACCTGACCATCTACAGGAGTTATTTTAAATTCTCTGATGCATCTTAATAACTTCAACATACTTAGGAGGGAGGGGCATCCGCTACTGGGAGTCATCTTACCTTGGGAAACAGGGTGGCCATCTCTGTCACAGCCATGCAGATCTTTTCAGAGCAAGGCAGAAAGCTGTGGGAGGCAGAGACAAAAGGCTGAATGGGCGATCAACCACTCCTGTGCCATGTAAAGAAATGACGATAGAAAAGAGGAACCACAAACATACATCATCATGAACAGCCTGAGGGCAAGTTACTGGTGTTATCACAATATACTACACGTTTCATTCACATAACATTTACAGTTCATGTCTGCTTCTTTGCTCAACAGCATACTTTTTAACAATCACCTCATATTTAATGTTTTATTTCATGATGTGAAGCAAAATGCATCTGCAATGTTTGACCCACTGCCTAACAACCATATTTATTTGTGTAATAAACATACACATGGCAGCGGTGCAATCTTTCAGAAGAAATGTGAGATGACTACCTTGAGTGAAATAACACTGGGTTAGTAAGCAGTATGATTTAATTTCAGTGACAAGGGATAATATGATGAATACAACAACATACCTTATATTGAACCTGGCTGAAAAGACTAGAATCCTAACAGCAGAAGCCAATAATCAAGCTGGGAAAACCTGCTTAGACCAGACACAATAGTACTCTTCAAAATACATTTCACATGGGCCATCGAGGCAATCTCTTTGAAAACTGTGCCCATCCACACCCATGTAGCCGCACACGTCTTCACAACATCAGAAGTATGGCTGTAATATTATAGCTCCAAAAAGCTACTGATGCTTCACTTATGGGCATATTTTCAACCAGAGCAAAGGGACTTCCCATGGACATCCATGTCCCTGATCATCCCCCGTATGTGATTGGTCAACACAGCGCCTTTGCTGGATGATGTCACCGTCCGGGGTGGTGCGGAGGGTGAAAATAGCATAGACGGTCACATGGATTCAATTAGAAGTTAGAAGCTCATGCACAGTTAAAGTCTGAAGAGACTCGTGAAATCAGACGGGAGAGAAGCCAGTCAGTTGAGTTTGTGACAAAACCTTTTACAGTGCTTGCGTATTGTTGTCTTTTACTGTATATGATAATACATACTCAGAAAGTAGAACTGAAGTGACATCAATTACAAGATGATCAGTTAAAACATTTCAAAATGCACCTGCATTGATTTGCATTTTGTGACTTTCAGTCAAATAAATGTATTTTTCTAGTCATATAGTTCGTCGTTGAAAACCTTTTGAAATAATTGTTAAAATACCATCTCAAACCCAATATTGTGTATTGTCTCTTCTTGTGAGCTAGGTGTATCATCACACCCCTAGATGTGAGGCATCAAAACCTCTTGCATCATAAGCACGATACTGTGTCGAGTTGCCTGCTTCATGCATAACATCACTACTGTTCAGAGCTACATATTAATGCCATAATGACTGTGCACAATAATATGCACTACTACATGGTTGATAGGTTAATCTAAAAAAAATGACACTGTACTGTCTCAGATCACACTAAAAGTAGAGGAAAATAAAGTGCTGTAATGTATAAATGCAAAAATACATGAGATTAGTAAAGGGTTGCACACAGGAAACCTCACTGACCGATTTAGCAGGCCACAGGAGAATATGTGATCATGTGGTGTTTGTTTCCTGTCAGCTACATTAAAAGACACAAGGCCTGCCCCCAACAGACTCTCAGCCCTGGGCCCTGAGAATAACTACTGAAAACCTAGAAATGCCATTGACCCTCTTTGAAGGCAGACAGAATGAAACAAAACCTGGTTTGACAGGGTCCACACTGTAGCTTACAACATATCAAACTATGAGATGCTCTGACTCATAATCATTATCAACCAACTACAAATATATAGAATATGATCAATTTATTTAACCACATTTACTGTATTTGAATACATGTTAATTGTAAACTACCTTTCGTGTTTGGTCTCCTGGGCCGCTCTCAGAAGTTCCTGTATGTTCTTAGTAATCTGCTCTGTCTTACAGATGACGTCCTCTGTGCATGGCAGGGTGGCATCTTCCTCACCCTCCTCCTCTGGATCCACAGTGTCAGATGCAGGAAGTGGGCTGCTACAAATGGAAAGAACTAATGCTTTGTCACCGCTTACTGCTATATGCACTGCACAAAGACATGATCATATGCATAATCTTATATAAAAAATTAGAAAATTTGTGAAAATGAAGCATGGTGTTCTAGTCCATAGCAAATATAGTTCTGTATTAAATATCTATCTTTTCTGGTTTGCAGTACACAGAATTAAGTGAACTATCATTCCCTATTGTAAAACAAATGCAGTCGGGGCTGTAATTTGGAAAACGCAGCAGAGCAACAAGCTGGGTGTCACAAGTTAGTGTACGTTAGGTGCCATCTTATACTAAAGACAACTAGATCCATTTATTTCATAGCTGATCAAATAAAGTGCTAATAGAAAGGACTATAATCAACAACACAGATGAAAATGGCAAGAACTAGAGGCAGAAGACAAATGCAAGGCTACCAGCTCTTGCTCATATGTAGATTTTTTACAACTGGTAGCTTACGTCAGACAGGGTCTACTCCCACCGCTGCAATATGTCAACTTAGTCTGGAACAGTTAAACTAACCAGTCAAGGTCTCTTTATAAACATCTGTCACAACCAATATTAGTCCAGGTTTGTAAGCTCCTGCTTTAATGTCACATCAAACTAGGAGAAAAGCCTTCCCATTTAATTATCTTCAAACCTATCACCACATGTTCATCTCTTTGCTCCTCATTAACAGCACTTTGGTTTGGTAAATACTGCATAAATAAGAAATAGTTGGTGTACAATCAAAGTGTTTTTAAAAGTATTACTTTGATGAACCAATGAAATAATTGTGGGGATTTCTGTTGGTCAACATTAGTTCTTACCCAGCCTCCTCCATTTCCGAGTGGTTGGGTGTAGTGTCGTAATCATTCTCCAGCATGATACCCTGTCCTTCCAGACTGCAGCCCTATAGGGACATCAGTGTATTACCATCAATAAGTTACACTAAATGCATAAATGCTGTATTAGATTACCACAGATGTATTACAAATTCAACTGTAGGCACATATAAATCAGAATCATGCGTTTCTGAAAATAATGCCACGATCACACTGTCAGATGTTTGGTTTTTAAAGCAGATGAAGGGAAAAAGAGGAAATAAACAACCAGGTCACTGTAGTGAAACATAGTGCGTGCTGCAGTGGGTGTGATTAGTAGATGCAAAGAGAGCCTGATGCAACTTGTTTTCTAAGCACATTATGACGACTTAACTTTCATGGATACTGGACTCTACCATCTGCTTATTTAAAACGGTTTTCTTTGCTGCAAAACTTCACTGGAGCTAAAACAGCTTAGTTTAAGGTGCTCTGTGGAGAAAAAACTAAAGGTATTCACATGACTGAGCTGTAGCAGAGGCACTGTGGTACAGGCAGGCAATGCACACAAAAACCAGTTTAGAGAGACAGGTCAGGAGAGAGAAGACTGTGGGGTCAAGCAGGGGGACAGTTTTCACCGTCCCCTGCAGTTGCCTCTGAACCGAGGGGAAGTTCAGTACTTAACCCTTCGAGATCTCTCATCCCACGACCAGGACAGGGAAGAGGGGAAGGTAGGGAGAGAGGAAGCAGCCGTCCCCAAAGGACCTCTCCCAATCTAGAAAGGGTTCAAACCAAGTTGAGCATACTCTATTGAGATGCAATGAATGACTGAATATCCAACACCAGAGCCAAGTCAGGCATCATTGTTTTCTCTTGTGAAGCCAATCAAACAGGAGCATTGGTGCTTCTGTGCTTACATTAGTTGGGAAGGGTTGTAAAATGACTCCGTCCTCATGCCGAGCCGTTTCAACTCGGTGGGGGTACTGCTTTGCAGAAGAACCTGTCTCATACATGGACATGGCACGACCTCCACGGGGTCGGTGTCGGCCAAAGGGCCCCTGCTGTTGTTGTCCGGTGGGGGTCTGCCATCGCAGTGTTGTGTTTTCAGTCTGCAGGGAGTTCAGCTGTGAAAAATAAAACATCTTTCAATTCAGCTCTAAGCGGGGATTGATCCTCTTACAAAAACTCAGCCAGACATCAATAACAGAGTAGAATACAGCCAAGGCTCCAGGAGAAAAACAATCTCTCTACGTGGAGTTCATCTTGAGCTCTGTTTTGTTTTTGGTTTCTCTTCAACATTTCTCAGAAAAAAAAGGTTTTTTTTCCTTTAGACAAATGACCTGCTGACACCGAGTTCATAGAAAATATTGATGTATGATGCCCTGAGAAACTGCCAAATAGCACTTTGAAATTGAGAAATAATAAATAGGCTAGCACAAGAGCAAAATCAGTGCTGCCTACAGTGTATCTTGTCTTAATGTGTCTGTCTGAAATAACACACAACATGATTATTAAAAGAGAAGATTAGCTTCTATGTTAGGACATGCTTTAGGCTGCACTGCATCAGAAGGGAGGGACTAGAACAGGGGCTTTCATTCGGTAGTCCATGGCCCCCTGGTGGTCCACGAAGGCAGCGCAGATGGTCTCTGCCCATGCAATAATGAAATTTCACTGTTATTTTATTTTGAAAACATGCATTACTTATTGTTTGTGAATAATAAAATTCATGAACATACAGTGGGTACGAAAAGTATTCAGACCCCCTTAAATTTTTCACTTTGTTATATTGCAGCCATATGCTAAAATCATTTAAGTTCATTTTTTCCCTCATTAATGTACACACAGCACCCCATATTGACAGAAAAACACAGAAT